GACAATAAACATGTAGAAGTTTAAAAAAGTCTCAATTTCATGAGCTTACAGCGCAACTTAGAATTATTGTAGCCAGATTTTTATTGTTGAAAATCTTGATTAATATTACATTGCATGTTTAACTAAATGTTCTTAACATCATGTGAATCATATTCATAATGTTTACTTTTCCATTACATGGTATGAACTAACACTCAGTGCTTTCATAGATTAGTACTGTAACTAGTCGAACTAACCTTGACAATTTTTCGATCAACTATTTTCTGTATTACTCCTGTGTGAAAAGTGGTTTGGCCTGCCAAAATTATATTTCTACATTATGTCACTTAATCAGACATTTAGCTAATCCCATAAACAGTATAGATCTATAAATACTAAACATGACTTATGCATGCATACTCAGAATTATATATAATGGAGGTAATGGTATCAAGTAAAATGCCATGAGTATTACATGAAGTTCATATTCAGCCACTAACTGCCTGACGGGAGTAATTCCAGTGAATAAGCTTTCAAATGATGAAATCAAACCAAAATAATAGTAGCGAACTAAATATCCAAGAGCTAATTTCATACACTCTATCCAATTAAGCATTAAGATTTATTGAAGAAAACTTAAGAATTGAATGCTGTCCTTCAAATCTTTTCAATTTATAACCAGTGACAGTTTATATCAAGACCATATATGAAAGTTGACTAGCAATGACAATGATGCTGTAAATCATTGTATTAGTAAAGCCGTCTTATCAGTCTTACTACTACTAAGTAGTATATATTTCATGTATTCATAATATTATCCTTTGAATGTTCTTTTCCTATTATTGTAATGAACTGTATAATGTATTCAAAGACTTTCCTAAACAATTATCACCAGTGAATAATCTAGATTTAAATGGTTAGCTAACACTGAATAGACAGATTCAAAAAAGGTTACATTATGTTAACAGATTAGTGGATCTGGTCTAGATCTATAGGAAAATTTTCTCTGAGAAAACACCTCCGCCACGAGAAGGCAGTGAGTAGAACATCCCTAGCAGAGGCAATATACGCGTGGCAATGTGAGTGCATTTCGAGAGGGAGAGCAGAACTCTCCCCACTCTCGGCCGTACCAGGGCATTTGGGGGCACAAATATCTCTAGTTAATAAGCAAGTAAATTCCAACGGTATTTTACATCTATCTGAATAAAACCTATATTAATGTGAAATACATACATGTATAATATCTATTATAAACTTATTATTATTACATCATAAAGACAAGATAGTTTTGTTTATATTTTGTACTTAAATTTTATTAACAAACATTGTTGGGAACGTCTATTGATCGAACTTCCTTTTTTTTGGAAAACACCTATGAAATAATAAAAAAATAGTCACATGATTCTTGATTAAGATTTTGTAGAAAATTGATTTAGAATTTTTCTAAAGTATAAACAAAAAAATATTCTTTAATGAAGGGAATTCATTTCATTTCGTGTACATTAAGCCGCCTAATTTATATGAACTAATTTTATTTTTATCAATAAAATACTTTACAAATGTAATTCTGTGTGTAATATATACAAAGTTGTAATCAAGTTTACAAGTGGATGATCATTAAAATACCTTTCAACAATCATATAGTTATGATCTAGAGAAGAATGAACTAATAGAAACATTTTTTTCTTGTCCAATTAAAGTTGAATATGTTCCTATTCATTAGTAAGAGGTATCAGTGTTATAGTCCAAGTGACCCGACATTGTGTGAACTATTTTGATGTGTTAGGTGGTTGGTAGGAAACTCTATACCAAGGTTTCGTGGTAGTTGACACTCGTCAATAGGGCAAATGTTATTCCCTATATGGTTTGAACTCGGGTTACCCAACTTCACGATCGGTAACGTTACCACTGAGTACAAGGAGCATCATTCCCCCCCCCCAAGATTGCAGGTATACCTGCAGCCCATTAGAACCTTGTACTAATAATTATCATGTGCTCACTAGTGACTGGCTTCAGGATATAACTCCTGGAGTTCTAGTGAGAAGCCGTGACCAGTGGAATTCAACCGTGTCATATGTGGCAGTTACCCAACGAAGACAATGGAAGATGGTTGCGCGATATTGTATATTGGTTGACATTAGACATAAACACCGTTGAATCAGGGCTAAGTGATCTCGAGGTTAAGCATTCGTACGAGACCGAAGGTCTTGGGTCCGAGTCCCTCATGCGGGGTCGTAGGCGTTCGCTGCTGAGGGGTCCAGTGCTTCCTAGTTTCGATCAGTCGACAGTAATTTTATTGTCAATTAAGAGTAAATATGCATAAGCTAAATAATTTGGTATATATAATGAATGTGAAGAATGATTTTCTTCTTAAAAAAATGTTTGCATTTTAAGAAGAAAAAATGCACCCGAAAATTCATTTGAATCTCGTCTTAATTTATCGATCTCATGATATTTTGGCATTATATATTCTCAACAACAAAGAAAACTGATGTGTTTTTCCATATAAAAACAAATTGATCGATTGTGTCCTGTCAATTTACTATCATATTTTGATTATTACCACTAATTAACAAATGAAATGACGCCAATTCATATATATATATATATATATATATATATATTTAGTATGATATTAGTGACAGCTTACTGAATGACAATACATTGTTTTTTATTCGAAGTAAAATAAACTACTGAATAATTACACTGAACTTACTCTTTATATTTTTGGCATCCACTAACTTACGCATCATCGTCTGTAAATCTTGGCTATATAATAAATCAATATGATTAGTGAACATTAGGGGTCGTCTAAATGTAACGATTCACTTTGTTTGTTTGGTATTCCAGACTGATTCAAGATGCAGCTAAATATGTAATAAAAATCTGACCTTAGCAAACATATGGATTTATGTTTTAAGCTCCAACCTGTAGTTATTGTCTACCGGTTACTTATACTGCATGGCTGTTCGAATCTCAGAAATCTGATTGAAGATAAATCCCTTGAACAAATGAGAAATATTTAGTTACAAGAAATAAGAGGGACTTAAATTTGTCATTGAGAATAGCTGGTAAATATCTCATTGAGTGTATGTAAACAATTTGTTATATTGATTTGATGACTATTCAAATTATTATATTTGGACATTGTTGTTTCCAATAATTTTTTCTTATCTAGATACCATTCTTTAATTCAGCACTATTACTTGATAACCATTATGAATTTACTTTTACAGCTCGTGATAGCCATAATGACTAAAAATAATTTCGTTTAATAGTTTAAATCAGACTATGGGTAGTAACATGAACTTAGTTACTCAGTGATTGCAGAATATTTGAGTATTGGTGTAAAAACAGGAATGACTAGCCAATTAGATGAACCCTTAAATTTTATCTCTTGATTCTCATGTTGAAGCTGATGGGGATCAAACGCGTGACGTCTCCTGTATACTAGATCTCATAACACTATACAACTTACCTTTTATGCCACAGATAATACGTAATTAAGGATATATTTTATTTTCTCAACATTTTTTAGTGTATGCATAATGCTTCAATCAGTATATGATCATTAGCGTAGAAATGAATTAACACAAATCCAGTCAGTAGTCAGCTTTCTAAATGTTTGCGGAAAACAAAAAACAAGGTAGACTTATGCACCAACACGTTTGAGAGGAAACTTTACTTCTCTTGAGGTAACAGGCTTGTCGTAAATGGGTAAATCAATTGAGATAGGGAACTTCAGAAGTTATTCACCGATTAATTAGAAGCCTTCTGTGTCACCATCTTTCAAAATTTTCATTTATTGCGATTGACTATCCTGTTCTAGATTTATCGTAATTAATTAATTTTGTTCGTCAATCACGTATACTTGAATATTTCATAAAATATCTACAACCTATTGGGAATCTGATTACTAAGAAACTCAAGAAGTGCTGCGATATGCACTACTTATACGGACAGATATAAGTAGTATGTAGAGGAATTGGAATGCTCACCAGTAGATAGAAATGAAGAGGAAAGAAAACAGAAAGCAATCGGAAGAACAACAGGATTAGAAGAACGATGGAGCATGTAAAGGGAAACTCAAGGAAAATGTGCAAATAATGTATTTAGGGTATGATTCCCATATTTCATAAAGGGTATCATGTGTTGTTGATTAAACAGTAAATTTGTTTACCGTAGCTGAGTTTTCCTTCATTATAGTGCTACCACGATGATTCGAAAATCATCCTCTTATCCTTTTCTGTTTTTCAGTGATGAAATCAGCTGAATTTGACAACATACGCAGATGTTGTGGAAACAATACTGATCGCAAATATTCATGGATGAGTGAGAATGTTAGTTGATCATTGTTTGAATATTCGTAATTCATATAAGCAATCATGCCAGCTTTCAATCATTAGGTTACAGATTCAAATAGTGCCTGCTACATCTAATCCGGGTTGGGTATTCGGATGCTAAAACCGACCTTTATGTTTTAAAGCTGAGTGCAAAAGCTTATGGATTGACACATGAATTAGTTTTTTGTTAATTGTCCATTAAAGAAATATTAAGAACAACAGTGCACCAATTCACAAGTTCTAGTGTTGAATCTGTATGTGGTAGCGATCATGCACATGCCCAATAATAAGAACCTACAAACTAAACTGATACAATTATTCTTTAGAATTTAAGTGTTTCAGAAGAAGCAAGTTGGAGGATCCAAATCAATATAAAATTAAATAGATCCTAAATAAAAGCGCCCCATTTAGAATTATTACTATAACAGGAAAGCACAATTCATTTATCATTCGGTAAGTTTACGCACTCTGCTTTAAAACATAAAGGTCGGTTTAAGCATTCGAATATCCAACCCGGATTAAATGTAGCAGACACTATTCGAGTCTGTGACCTAATGATTGAAATCTGGCATGAATGGATACATGAATAACAAAGCAATTTTTGACCTGTTAAAAAACAAACCGAACCGTAAGAGAAAATCATTTTTATTTGTAATGTTAACATCATTTATCTCCAATGTATAGTTGATCTGGAATATAACAACAAGAGTAAGGGTAAATTAATCGCATAACAATAATAGTAAAGAAGACAATATGGTGTAAGAGGAAGAAAGTAGGTTCGATTTTTATTAAAAACACAAGGTGTGTTACAGTGAAGGAGAAAAACAAACAGATTTGTTTACATTACATTTGGCGCATATATACTTGTCATACATCAAATAAGATAGCTAATGAAAAAGCCACTACTACTAATTTGAGTGTTATAATTCTGATTAGAATAAGCAATATTTTGTGTTTGTCATTAGTGAATAGATCACAAAGAAGAAAAAGAATTGTGCACAATAGTACATTAAATCAATTTCTTTTAATTAGGTATCTCGGACTGGAACATTGTACTGGCAATAAGCATGAATAATAATGTTACGGTTTAATCAAATATAATTATGTGATCATTTAACATTTTAAAAAAATTAATGTTACGTACATAAATAAAACGCAATTTGGTCCATATATGTTTTAGATAGAAAGATCTTTTACCGAATGTATTTGTAAAAAAAAAATCATTTGACTAAAGACATAAGAAAGAACGTGATAGAAAGAGGAAAACAATTAATAATTTCACCAGCCATTACCATCATTGACATTGTTGTCATGACTGTCACACCACAGTTAGCAGGAATGATAGCTAACGATACATGGAAGATGACAAAAGCAAGCGAAACTAAAGAACAGGAAGATGCAATCACCAATAATAATAATAATAATAATAATAATAATAATAATAATAATAATAATAATAATAATAATAATATGAGATCATTTTCACCCAATAACTTTTGTTTTCGATAAAAATAAAACAATATGTTATATGACAAGACCGTATTAGATTCAAGCATGTATTAAATTAATAATGTAAATAGAGAAATGAATATAAGTCGACAGGGAAAGAGAAAAAAGTTGAGAAAAATTCGGAACATATTCAATGAAATGAGAGCGAGAAACATCAAAACATAGAGAAAGAAACAGCTTGTCAATGCGGATAAATGATGATAAGGATAATGAGGAGAAAGAATATGCATGCAATGTATACACAGGTAGTCCTCTGATAAAAGATAAAATAAGCACAACGAGTAGGGCGATCAAGTTGTAGAGGAGGATAGAAAAACAACAAATGAGATAAATACACAAATATATGCGACCGCAACAAAATAGATAATAACAGAAGTAATGCATATAATGGATATTTTGTGTAAAATACACTCACACTATATGAAAATGTTATCAAGTTCTTAAAACAAAGCATGATGCATAAAAACTTAAATCGAAGCAAAAGGAAAACAAGAAAATTAAGATCACAGCATTAATACACAAGAAGAATCTATCGCTTTTTTCGAAAACTGTTGAAACTTTTACTGAAGAAAAACAAAATTTAATAGTAATCTGCATCCATCACCCTTTATTGTTATCATTGTCATATGCTGTTTTGATTTATAATGGAGAAAATAATCAACACAGCACTTAGAAAAAAGAAGTATTTCTTGTGTATGTAAGAAGGAATGCGAATACATGGGCACTGACCTACTATTTTTAGAAATAATATTGTTCACTTATAGCCCTGCCAAAATTAAGAATTCAACAAATTACACTTTGTTATATAATGTAAATTATCTGAAACTAGACATTTTGAAAATGTTATGAAGTGTTTTGCATTGAGTAAAGAAAGTTAGTGAGAGAGACAAGAGATAATAATGAGGAAGAATCTAATTATCATTGATCATTAACGAGGCAGATTTATATCCCCACTCTTTTTGTTGATAGAAAAAAATATATATGTTATATACAACAATTATTATTATCATATGGTTGATTTAATTAATGAACAGATGATGCATTTGGATTGGGGATATCATCACCACCCCCATTAGCAATTAGAAATGGATTACTAATGCCTCGTCCACTTGATGTATTCGATACACCAGCTGTAGCTCTATCCACCCAACCTAAATCGAATGGATCCGAAAGACAATCAGGTTCTGGAGGTAGAAGAGCAGGTGGCAATGACGATGGTGATGAAGGTTGCCAGTTTGCATTACTAACGTTTCTTCCATCAACCAATCCGATTGATGATGACCATGGATTTGTGGAACCTAGAGAAACAAATGAAATAAGTGTAAGGAGACAAGAGAAAAACATCGAAAGTAATGGGATAAAATAAATGATTAAAGAGTAGTGAAGATAAGTAGGTAATAACAATGAAAATTAATAATGATAATAATAACACATGAATTGAAACAGTATTCATCAACTATAATTTAACAACTTCACAACCACCTGATTTTAAAACACCATTGGAAGGATAAGTTAGATTTGTTTGAGAATTCACTGTACCAGTAGGAGAACTTGGTAAATTTGAACTATACTGAATAATAGATTTGTTAAATTGTTGCATCTGTGGATATGTGACTGCCCATGGACTAGAATTAAAAGTATTAGTCGATACAGTTGGAGCAGCAATTGGTGGTCCGCCTAAAAATGGTGAAGTTGGTGTAGAACTGATAGTTGAAACAACAGCCGTTGGAGCCTAAAAGTACAATTATTATTATCATTATTACATGCAAAGAACATAAAAATGTATTTACAATGATAAACCAATAAACTTTATCTACAAAATAACTAAAACTCATTAAAATGATGCACATACTGAAAATTGTAAGTTAACCGTAGTATCCTCCTGACTTCCGGTTTCGTTCCGAACAATTCATAAAAATGGCACAGAATTTAACAATACCATAATGATTTAACTAATTTATGGCCGGATTTTACTGTACCTAAATATATTGGTGAAATGTACAATAATTATGATAATAATAGTAATGATATGTTTTAACCAAGTACGAATCAATAAAATCACGAGTTCCTATTCAGATTAGTTTGTGAAATCAGTATAGACAAATACATATAAAAATCCTTTCTATATATCCGATGAGTATTTGACTTCAGTATTGCTGAACAATAATTTATAAATATGGTGTCATCTGACATTATTTAAGCCATTCAGATACATATTGGAGATATATGAGTGAGTTGGTAATTGCCCGTGACTTTCCTTGCATTCATCAAAGAATTACTTAAATAATAGTTTAATCACTTCAATTTATATTGTTAAATCATCTATTGAACTGGAACGACCTCTCTACAAACGACTGGCATAAAACGTGAAATAAACGCTTTTTCATGTTCCTTCATAGTGGTCACAACTGCCAAATTGTGAATAATTCTCAGTTAAATTATCTAAAATAACAAACAGTAAATTTCTTACTATTTTGCCTACTAATACCACATCTAATCCACACAAGCAAATAAACAATGTCTTTATGGAGTTTTACCTTGGTCGCTTTACTCTGAGTATATTTACAAAGGAAGTCAAAGAGCAAACATATTCAATATACATTCAAACCGTCCCAGTTAGCAAGTACTAAAAAATTTACTTCGTTGGAGATCTAAACATAACTAGTATGACACATTCAGTGATTTAATGGTAACTGTAAGACGTTGAAAAATTATCAACTGTTAAGTATCTACTGACTTGACATTTTTGTTTACTTTGAAACATAGAAACCACTAAACGATGCACGATAAAAACCAACAAGATTACACACTAAAACTATGATACGTAAATACTTCTATCAATGGCGAAAATTCGGTACGATGTCAAGTGTGAATAAACGTGTTCATGTTTTCTTTATTGGTCACCTACTTGAAAAGATTGATGAAACAATCCAAATAATAAGTCAACTAATAAATTATTCCAGGTCAAACAACTTCCTGCTGATAAACAACAACATGTTTGTTTATGACACCTAAAAAATATCGTTTTACGTTTGATATTTATGAAAAAGTATGACAAAGATTCCTAAGTTTTCATTATATTGACTCCAACTAACAAGAAAATATCATTTACGTATTCTAAGCCAATCATATCCAGTTAAGTGAAACTAAAATTATGAATGAATGCATAGTGAAGAGATAAAATATTGTTATGTAGTAAACTACACTTGCTTTGGAACTTAGTAGTGAAGAACCTGTGATTTGCTGGTGTTGTTGTTGGGCTGTCTGTTGTTGCAATTCCATCTGATAGTGCCGTTGTATTGTAGCTGGATTGATTGGAGCAGCAGAAAAAGGATCCGAAATAATTGGAGGTATAAATGCCTGTGATGTTCTAAGATCAAGATTGAAATCACTTTTAAACTGGCTACTAGGTACAAATGATTGAGTTACTACAGTTAGACCATTCATAATTGAAAGGTTCGAAGATGAACTGGCCACTACTATGGGTGGGCTACAATTAGACGTAGAACATACAGTAACTAATTCGTTTTTTTCAGGTCGCCCATTATTTTTAGCACATACTCCTAGTTTTGTTGGTTCAAATTCTGTATCTGGTTCCTCCGCTATGGGTGCGCCTTGAAAATAGATAAAAAGGAACAAAATAAAGATGTTAGAAATAGTCTATGTAACATAACTCTTCAATCCGTAAAATACTAAATAAATAGTATATCTCCAACTGAACTGTATAATCTCAACGGGAAAAATACTTTAAAAAAACCAGCACAAATGCGAATTAACGGCTAGACACTACAATACCACTGAATAGTTTAAGTGTTGAATGGATAGTTCCACCAACCAACGAATACTTAACCCGTTTAGATATTACGGAAATTAAGTAATTTAACGTATATGGAAGCTAACTAGAACATAGCGTTATGATGAGATAAATAATTAATATAATACTCATCGACCAATTATTTGTTTTAACTAATTTGTCAACTATAGCTTTATCCACTCTGTTTTGAGTTAGTTTCTGAGTCTGGGAGAGAAAATAATCGGAGTTATGGCAAGTATTCAATGGATCTTATATGATGATGACTAATCAAAACGTTTATAAACCAAGTTCAATATTGAAGTACTCAGAATGTACCTCAAGTGAAAAGCGGTATGTTAATCTTTGATTGAACATCCCATTAATCAAACTGAACCAAGATAATACAGTCAAAGGTGTTTATAATTGTCACCGGATCTTACAAAGATACCATATACATTGATTAATCGAATTCAGTAACTAAGTATAGGTTTATGCACAGTTCTAAGTCATACTTTTTGAGAGATTATAAGTGATACTACTTGATCTCTTAAACCAAAGTAGGCAGAGCTTGGGATCTGAACCTATCACACTATCACTAGATAACAAGTGTATTAACAACTACATCACTGCTGTAAAAATTTATATTACTATAGTATTATAACCATTTTTACATAAGTAGAACCACAGCTGTGATGATTATTAAGCAGTTCGTTATTTTTAAATTCATGATTAATAAGTCCTCAAATTTTTTTTCGCAAACCGCCTAACAATTAATCAAATAATTTCCTAACATTAAAATTGATAAAACAAATGCTTCTTTGAATTTTCTCGGTACGGCGATGAACAATGTGATGATAACTCTTGCAGTGAGCTCAATAATCACATACATAAATATCTTACAAAGTAGAAAATACTGATACATACCAACCCTGAATATATTTAAATAAGACATCTTGGCTACAGTAGAACTTCCTCACAACCAATCCCAATAGCATGGTTTTTCGTGTAGTGACAGGAAATCGTTAACTTACAAATTAATAAACGCGCTTGTGCATGACCGCTAACGAAAATCGTAGCATTATACCAAATGCATGCACATTAACTAGATATTGATGTACTTGACAAAGTTGAATACTGACCCACAAAAAAGCCTTGTAGTTTTCAAAGTGTAGCGGATTTCACATTCAAATATTACTGTGATAACGATAAAATTCAGCGTTAAATTCGCATCTCATAGAATTCTTTAGTGACAAATATCACAGATACCGGGGTAGATAAACCACTCTGAAGAAGTGGCTTACACCAAGTCACGAAACGTCAGAAACACAATTTTATACTCATTGGGAATATAAAAAAAAATATATTTACTATTATCATAAAATCATCAGTAATCGAACAACTCATAAACTATCTAGTGAATTGCTTAATAATTGATAATATAAATTATATACCGCAACTGAGTAATAATTGTTCATGACAAGTATCTGTTGTCTTGCTTCTTCCATTTGCTGACGATAATTACAAGAAAACTACACACATAGGTGATTGCATCAGTTTCATTTAGTGGAATATAAACCGCTTGCTGTTTGCTATAAGGTCAGTGAGTGAAACTTATACAGTGTAAAACCGATTAGGATTAAATAGTATCCAAGAGTTGACGAGTATCCAATTGATCTATGTAGTTGGCAATCAGTCTGTTCATTATCACAAAATATCATCTTGCTATTGTAGGAGAAATCTTGTTCCATTTAGAAAAATCCAGATATTCACAAGAAGTTGTCTACCACAAACAAAATAACATATGAAACTTCTTAAAATGACATAATTAATCCAAGTGAGTGAAGTTACATAACCTGTAATATCACTTTACCGTTTATTAAATGTCTTAAAACGCTTTATTTAAATGATACATTTACTATACAAGTATAATGGCATTAACTACCTTTTGGAAAAATTAAGTCCTTTATGGGTTCAAGCTAGAAAAAAAGTATTTCAACTTTAATGAATGGAATGCTATGTGCATAATGACATTTATAAAGAACATTAATAAATTATAGTACAAACAATATGATCAATAAGAAAGGTTGTATAAATCATTTACACCTACTTTGAATTATTCCGGTCAAACGGCGTACATTTGAAGGAACTCCTTCAAGACGTAATGAAAGATCTCTTTTGAAAGGACTATTCTCTTGTAATTTTGGAAATATTCTTAGCGAACCCTGATTAGAAAGGGAAAGTAAATTCTAAAATTTAACAATTCACTTGCATAAAAACTTAGTTCTCAGAAGAAAATATGACTTACAATACGAAGAAATCTCTAGTTAAATTCTGTTCTAAATGTTTAAAAACGTTAGAATCATTCATTTTAAATTTATCATTAATTTGGATTATGATTGACAGTGGAGCCTAAGACACATGTTTCGTCCTATGTAGGACTTGTCAGTTGAATGTACCTGCATCCCACTAATATATACACTGAAACTCCAACACAGTACTTATCGCTTCACATCAGTCAGTCAGCAACTGACGCTTCAAACGCCATTATGGTATCGGATAAACTATTAAGTCCAAATAATTGTTTAAAGAAATAATTAACTTGGAATTTCAGATGATACCAAGGCATTTTCTCAGATAGAACATACATCTACATATACTGAAGAAATTTAAGTCCTTAACATCAACAACGATGAAATGTGAACCCTTACGAATATCCATAATAATACTCATGGTACTGATACTAATAATGCCAATACTAATACTAATAATACTAATGCCAATAATACTAATAGTAATAATACTCATGCTAATACTAATAATGCTAATACTGATAGTACTAATACTAATGATACTAATACTATTACTAATAATGATAATAATGACCGTAATTATACTTATTGACCAAATTAATTATCTTTATTTCACAGCTTTGTGGATAGAACATCAACGTTTAACACGACAGGTCCTGAACTTGAGTCTTAGTATGAACATCAACACTAGGCATAAACGTACACACAGACATCAAGTCCCAAATACAAAGAAAAGTGCCTATTCGATTTTACTGTTATCCGTAATTTAAAGTATTTACGATATTATAAACACCGGAAGTTTGTTTGAAAATCCTTTTAGAAATACATGATCATATTTAAAATATTTCTTTGTTTTTCAAATATGAACAGTGTTTTGCACCTAAGAAAATAGAGATCAAACACCAAGTCTATGATTTGTACGAGTTCAGTATGGCCTAACGATATACAGGATGACAGTACTCTAAATATTTATAAGGCACGTATACAACAACTATTTAGAGTACAGATAACTTCTCAAGGAACGACCTTGGAAAATAGAGAAAAGTAACATCAAAAGATAAGGTGTCCAAACAAGAGAAGAAAAAAGTTCATCAGAAAGAACATGAATCTGGAAGGCAAGGAGCAACTTTGACTTGCAGAAATAAGTAATTTAAGTATAAACCAAAGAAAAACATAAATTACGAAGTGTTCCTAGAAACACTTGATCTTGTATGTGGTTGTTGATGCACACTGTATACGAGACCTATTTTAGAACTGAGTATTCGACACTCCCCCAACTGATGTCACTTCGTGATGAAAAACACACTCGAAATTAGAAAGAATATTTACAAAACTACTTAATTTCATTATGAAGATGTAGAACAAAATAGGGAAGTAAATACGATGACAAATAATAGTAGTAATTAGATGGATATGTGAAATAGGATAATCAAAAATAAATTAATTTTTGTCATCGATTTTTTTAACCTATGTTGCATGTTTATTACCGACAACAGAAAAAGTTGTTGAAAATTAATCCATTAACTAACAACCGAAATAATCTATTTACAAGTCCTTCCCTAGCTGACATCTGTACATTGTTTCTTTGCAATTAGTCAGTAGTCATTAAGCAATCATCGTTTGTATAGTCTTTGTTAAACTTACTCCATATCTTGACATTTTTGTTGCTAAATCCAATGAATAGTCTGACTCGCATAATAACTTAAATACGGTGTGCAGTTATCAAAATGACGCGTTTTGATGTTGATAAAATATTGAATAAAACAAATAAAAAGTACCTACTTGTCGCTCAATAATTGATGGACTAGCATGGGGTCGTGGGATAGCTCCAATATGGTTAACTGGTGAAGACACCCGAGTTATAGTGGTAGGTAATGTTGAAGATATATTATTAGGTTTTGGCACTGGGTCGACTACAATAGTAGACTGAGGATCCAGTAGCCGTTCAGCGAGAGTAGCCTTTCATAGAATAGGAAGAATTTAACATACGTTGTTAAAAACAAACAGAAATAAAATATCACAATGGAACATAAAGAACTACAACGATTATAATCGTGAATTAATAGATAGACAGTTTGACTGACGCCATCGACGAATCACTCATTCTCATTCAAAAGCTATAATCGCTGTTCATAACCAAGTTAATACATAGTTATATGCCTTATCAAAGTAATTTCTAGTCGTATTCCTACTTTTTAATATGACATAAAGTACACAGCATTGAAATATAAACTGGTTAAAATTGATGAATTCCAACATATGCAGCTCAAATTAATCAACAATGGTGCAAATATATTCATTTTTTATATTCCTAAAGAGACTTCATGTACTTTTGTCTCATGTTTTCCTCGCCGTATAATCATTTCCAAGTCGCTTATTTTCTTTATTAATATGCTAAATGAAACGGAATATGGATTAAAGGCAATAGCAACCAAGACAGAGCCACAAGGGTTTGAACCACAGACCTTCGGTATCGTGCATTAATACTTAGCCCTACTTGTAGGTTTTGTTCTAGATTATTACCTAGAAACTATTTACTGTGTTGCCACATCGAAAACATGTTTGCCGCTATGAGATACAGTCTGATGTTAGATGGTTGGATGCAATGAACAAGAAGTCGTAAAACTGAGTTTCATGTTGGTTGACACTCATCAGGGTAAAAAAGGAAATAAGAGAGAATCGATACTTCCACAGAGATTTGACTCCTCGTTGACTAGTTTTGCAATCAGAAACATTACCATGACTGAGCTATTCGGGTTGTGACTGACTTCCTGTAGGATTAAGTTATTTTTATTAAATTACTTATAGGGTTTATAGGATGATAATTTTAACACAGAAGCATCTATTTGGGATTTTTTTATAAACGATCCAAACTGGAAAAATATTAGTAGTAAGGATATTTCACTATGATATACTTAAATGTATATGACTTTTATACAGGATTTTAGGCATCAATGTAAAATCACAACATTATTCACTAACTCCAAACTTATCCGGAACTAAGTATTCATAAGTTGGTAAGTATCTCTCATAGAATAACGCACTACAGGTAATTTTTTACCAAACAAGATACTCTGATTAATCCATGCACATTTCATTTACGGATACTTGTATGTCCCACAATATTGTCATTTCGATTTGTGCTGACCATTTTGGTATGTCAAGTAATAAAACAAAGTTACATGATAAAGTTTGTACTTGATGTGAGGACAAATACAATATTTATTCGAGGTATTCATGAAATACAACTCACTAGATATTTCCGAATAACCTTGTTTTTCCTACCTTTGGTGTACAGCACTTACGCTTAGCAGTACTGGGGTAAATTCAACGTATTGAGTAAAGAAAATGTGAAATTGTAACCTTCAGACTACCTAACTAGAAACCTATGAGAGTTTTGAACCTAGGGTTTACAGCGGAGAGCGTGAACATAAACGAACTTTAAAATGGATACAAACAGAAAAGTATTAGTAGCTACTGATCGCTTGGATGTTAAAGATGGGACCAGGAAACCGTCGCTACTCAAAAATTTCCGCAGCTCTTAAGAGCAATAGACTGTCTTTACGGATGTCAATTTATGGGCTTATTGCCTACTTGACATAAATACTGCAACTGAAGTGACAAATTGAAACATTTTCAGTGTTCGACAGTAAGTCGAAAATTAGATATAGACGAATTAAACTAAAAAATAGGGTTATGATTCTGTTACTTTAAAATGATTAAGATGTAAGTTTCATTGACATACCGGACGAAACGATCCAACACGAGCGAAAGTTGGACGATCATCTGAAGCCTCCAACTGAAGAGCATCTCGTTCACGTCTTTGTTTCTTCTCCAAACATATAGCGAAAGCACATCCGACAGCATGAGACAACCGTTCACCCTGTATTCAGGCAGGAATTTGAAAATTTACTGAGTAAAATGTTTTAAGTTGAGCTTTAGCAGAAATTTAATCGAGGAAAGTATATACTTAGTCATTAAATTACACTATAAAATATCTCATGCCACTAGACACTTACAAATCATGTGTGTGTTACCGACAAAACCGACTATTACTTTCTGATATTGCTATATTTGAAAAGATTACGAGTCCACCTAATCTGAGAACGGAACGAAGGCTCTGTGACACAATGACAGATAAGATAGCTATTCTGACGCGTCTCAGCCCCAGCTGACTAGAGAGAGACGTCCAAGTTTGGAAGGGGAAAATTTATCCCACAAGCAGCCAGAAGCACGAACAACCACAACAAGTCAAGTCGGATATACACTCGTTTATATGTTGATTCATGCACCAATTTTTGATTAATAATTAGAATAAAACCACATATATGAAAAATAATTATAACAAATATGCTCAGTATAGTTCATGTTAACTTAATACAAGAATATCGTATGTTATGCAGAATAAAATGTCATACAGGTAAACAAAACAAATACTACACTGAGTAATCATCACATTGAACTAAAACGGAATTAATGATGAACAAAAGTTACAATAAGTAAATCAATCTAGTTTCGACTTTTCATCCCGTCATATCAGATATCAGCAGTGACTGGAAATCAGCACCTCGCGACCCGAGCCAATACAATCGGAAACATCACACAAACTGATACTACGTATTAGTCTGGTAGGCCTGTCACATCTCAAATCACTTTTGTTCTACCCACCACTGTCCATCGTGGTTGCCGGGCGTAAGTAACGTGATCTGAAGATGATAGAATCATTAATGATTGTAACAACTGATAACGGTGATATGGTGTGAACTCGATAGTAGTGGCACAGTTGCATCAATCCTTTATCTTCATCTAAATGTTATGTGATATTTTAAACTCTTCATTGCTTGATTTCACCGGTTCATTTGTTACTGCATTTTCTACATTAAGAGTGTAAATGCAGTTTACATCACTTCCTTTTCTTTGTTGCTCATCTTAACAACTTCCTTGATCGTTGCACCGATGTGGTAACTAGGACAAATGCACATTTGTTCCAAGTCTTATGGTGATGATAACCAATGGAATGGCAATTTATCTATTAAATTACTTGTTTTTAGGCACCCCAAGAAAGAGTATCCTTCCACGATGTAAGTAACCAAAAAGTTATAAGCGCCCCCACATTTTCAGAATCACTGACTGAGATAGACGATTAAGCAGATCTAAATCCCAAGGGTTACACCAGTTCGCTAAAGATAGTGGAAACGTCGCCCCGATGAGTTCCAACTGGAGTGAAACCCGAGTTCAGGTTTTATTCCAGATAAATACCAAACACAATACTTCATCAAAATAGTAAGCTTTCAGGACAGCTACCACTTCATCAATACGAAAAAGCAACGTTAAAATATGACAGTCCCAATAAGTGAAAAACTGGTCACATAAATGCGAAGCGTTATCAACTCATAAAAAGTACATTTAAATGTTACGTGTCAACGAAAAAATCCAACCAGAAACAGCACGAACACGATACTCTTGCTACTCACCGTACCACAATATTTTATAAAGGCATCTATATACCATCATAACAAAAATCTAGATAGATCTACTACATGTTCAAAAGCTTACGGATTCCTTGACGGCAAGAAAGGCGTGACACATCCAACGGCGGGTAGCTCCATCGCGACATATATATGCGAATCCTTTCTCGTGATTTCTATCAGGAGCACAAAATGAAACTTTTTCAATTGTCTGATCGACGATGAGATGCTAAAACGAAACTAAATCTATAAAATTCCAAAGCACCTGGCTAACGTCATCTGAAACGCGTAGAGCATCACCACTGACAGATAAAACAGCTTTTTGAGGTTTCTTTGAAATGCCATTGTATGTTAACCAAAGAAAATATGACAAACCTTTGATTTTCTTAGAGCTTTAATCGCTTCTTCACATACTTGCATTCCTCTTGACTCATAAACTTCAATATTCCCTAAATACTAAAATAACATGTAACATATAATATTTCGAACAAACCTTAACTTGGAAACTACAGAATCCCTCCTTGATTTTCACTTCATCATCTAGCCATTGTTGTGGTTTTGAAGAATCACCAGCCTCACTCTTATTCTGCTTTTTTCGTTTCCGAAAGCTGAATGTTCTTCTTAAACGATTCATCCCTGACTACTTAATTTGACGTAACTTGTACACATCGATGTAAGCCATTTAGTTTAGAAAATAATCTAAAGTGGATATTTGAGGGAAAAGAAATCAAAATAAGGTTTGGATGACTTTAACGCAATCTGTTTCAAAGAAAAATTACCGTAATATTTTGGCTCATTCATCAAAACGTCTTAAATACTCATGGGACATATTGGTCTTGCAAACGTTTTCTGTTGACGTTAGATATATGAAATTATATGAAAATAATGAATGTTGTTGATATGTGTGTTTTCAGTGGGATTAACCTTTAGTATCTCTTAAATCTACTCGATCGTTACAGAATAGAAATGTGAGATTTATGAGTAGTTAAACGGCAGAAATTACGAAAAATTTACTTTGAGCAGTTCAGGAACTTCTAATTGTACAAAAAGAGGTCGTGGACCGAAAACAATTCTTTTACAAATAAGTGTTAGATGTAGTTTCTCCGGGCAATCTTCCTGCATATAAATCATCTACTTAACATCTTGGCAACATAAGTTGTTATATTCATAGGTTACGAAATAAGGAACGTTCCGGATAGCTGTTCTTCGCCAGCGTATAGCCTGAGACGTATACGTACTGGACCATGTTACCACACAGTAGGATGATACTAAACAATTTCATCATCTACACATGACAAAAATGATATTAAATTAGGGCCTCATACAAAAGAAGTGACAATGTTGTGAAGAAATGAGGTTGCGGAAGATTTGATTTAAACACATAAACATTAGTACAAAGAAGCACCAAATAGATATGCGCCACATAAATCATCCGATTTGTATGAGGGCTAGAATACTGCCTGGGCGCCCAACAGAAGAAAATGGTTTTCTTAGGGGGCCAAACTTGGAGCCTTTGGTCTGAATGTCTAATCCACAAGGCGGTGGAGAAACGTTAGGAGATTCAGCCCCATAGGAGCCTATAACCAACAATTGGTTCATACGCCACTTGTCCTCTCAGGAGCACGGCGCTCATATGCACCACCAATTTCGAATCAAGGTTTTCCAACTCTCCCAGATGGACTCTCCATATCCACCAACACGGTTAAGGCGCCAGAAATCCCCTACTCGTACTCTCAATTTCGTAAACATCACCTAACCGCAAGAAGGCGGTGAGTAGGACTTCCCTGGCAGTGGTTGTATGCACGTGGCCATGTGGCTGTATCAAGGCATTTGGGAGTTGTATAACAAAGTTTGTCAAAGTGCTGCGGCAGTATTTCGAAGGTCAAAAGTATATCCCGTACTTACTAATAACGAAAGCCAAATGATTAAGTGTTCCTTAGCCTGAGTATCATAGCACAGTTAAAGCTTCACTGACATACTCGTCGAGAACTAGGCTTTAAATAAAATACACAACGCCACGCCTAAATCGCCATATCTCCTCTGGCATACATCCTACAGGATCCTATAGGTTTAAGTGTAGTTAAACCTACGAGACTAACTTTCACATTTACTGATTATCTTACCAGATACTGATACAAAGCCACTATCTACCCTTAATATTTAAGTGTCACTTAGAAACAAGGGTGTGAAATTAGACAGAACTTTCATGGTAAATTAACCTGGTTCTGTACTTTGTAACTCCATACCCTGGGAATGCTGTGACAAAATTAGCGCCTTGGCAATGACCTCCAAGAAGAACGACAAGCTACAGACTTTGTTTAACAGAAAGACGAACATTCCGGTTCACGACAATGCAAAGCGTTTGTTCTATTCCCTGAGTACCCAAGGGTCAAAATTTTCAGTAAATAGTGAAAGAATGATGGAAGAGTTACAACGGGGGTAACCTTTCGGAAACGCATGAACTTCTGTTTTCAACTATCAGACAGTCATTATTTTATACATGTATTGTTGACAATTATTGTCGCTTGCTTTATTATTTAGTTTTAGTCGATGTTTTGGGCTTAATAAGTCGTCGCACCCTACGTTTTTTCTCCCTTCACATTCCCCCGACACATAACGCACCTGCAGGCTAGATATCAACCTTTTGTAAACTGAAAAAATTTAGCATATCCTACCACCATCGCCCACTGAGTGGAACTTCATGATTTATTGTGTAGATGGTGCCTTAGGAACCAACTAAAATTGTTAAGATGAGAAAAAACGCTCTGTGACTAGAAGCCACTGCATCTATATCCTTTTTGTAAATATTTGTAACCACAACCGATTACCAACTTGTAGTTTATCCTTATCAGAAGAAAAACTAAAAGGAGTAGCGAATGAAGGCAAAATGGATGTTTACATTCCTCTTCAACTCCGAGTTGAATTTCATTCAAGCAAGAGGATTTGTATGATTTCAAGCGTCTGTAGATCACCAACGTAGATGATCTATGTCGAAATGATTGGAGGCCTACTCGAGTTAGACAATGAATGGTGTGACAAACTAGCTAATGTCGAAGTCACACCTTGTGGTCAGCACCTTACGTGGACTACCTCATTGACGTATCACGGTACCATAGATGCTTTGAAGACTGTACAACACAGAGGACGTTATCACAGAAATATATTAGTAAAGGTAGATACAAGCGAAAGTAAGACCACTGCCGCATGGGCCAGTCCATGGCGTATGATTAACTAATGCGCGTTGCTTGTATATGACCTTGGCAGGGAGCGATGATCTGTTCGACATTCAGTGATCCAACTGCCGGATGATTTGGCTAGGGTTCAGTGACATTTCACTGGCCCTACAATACTCCCCCACCAGATTCAACGGCCGTTTGAATCGGTACCAAACATGTTGGGAGCAGTCGCGCGCCGGAGAGTGCCAAACGAATATTATAAATTCTCCAGGTATTGTTTATCTGTAAAACAAATGGAAAGGAGGCGGCAGAAACTGGTCGGGAAACAGCGAGTCATAATATGTTAGTAGGTCGTTGCTTAAACGTAAATTGATTAACCATAGAAATAATGAAAAGAACAAAACGTTTTATTGTTCTATCAAGTCGCGCTGAAATATATAGCCTCGACAAGTAATTCAGTCCTTCCGATGACAAACGTTAAGTCTGCCGCAAGAGTAATAATGCTATAGCGATAGTAGGATAAGTGTATTATCAATCGATGTCTATGTTTGTACTGTCATTAGTTTAAAGTTGTAAGTCGGACAGTGTCGTTGACAGCTATTAATTAGTGTCGAATTCTCGTTATATCTATATCTAACAGACTAACAGTAAGTACAGAAGTATAACAGTGAAGAGTGGTCGTGATTTCGTTGTGCGAAGCTATTGACCAACTTGTAGTCACAATTTGAAAAGTCGATGACTGCTGTTACAGTCAGTAAGGGTTGAAGGCTACAAATCCACAGCAAAGGTGGCACGATGAAGTCTCTAAAAGATGATAAACGGTAAGTGCTGCGTGTTTGTTCGGTTAGTGAACAGAAAAATATCGAAAAGAACATAAGAAACCAAGAGTGTCACTCTGGACTCATGTCAATGATACCCGTGAAAAACGCTGTCAGTGTTAAGATAGAGGCAAAAATGTCGTTTTAAGTTTGCAGGAGGTTCTCTCGACTGCATAAACTGATGATTCACGCGAATGATAATGTCGTCAGACCACCAATTGAACTGGACAGGTTGTAAATCGTCGAGTAGTTGAACAACCGATTGATGTACCGAAATCATCGGTGAGATAACAGCCACGAGGAAACAATACTTCATAAAATGAAGTACGACGTCGAAGTAGAATAAGTACAATAGTTCTGATGTATTATAAAGTCAAATCTAAATAACATCGTTCTTACGTATACTAACAATTGCACTGAACGGTCGTTTAGGTATTGTTAGCGTAACAGTTGGATGTGTGAATAAAAACATATACGAAAACTATGGTTGGGTTCGTGGAGAATTTCCGAGGACGTTTAGATATTTTTCAAACCCGTATTGTATACAAATATACCGAAAATGGAAATGGAATGACTGTCGTGTAATAAGGAAATCGAGCCATGATTTACCGTGTGAATTAATAGCAAATACAAGGGGTATAATAAACATTAATTAAAATGGTGACCACCAATGTAACTAAGGTTTAGAGGGTCCAGGTAACGTGGCCATTTCGTAAAAGGCTGATACAAAGAGCTTATTACCTAGCGTTAAGTGACATATTAAGTACGACAACATGTGTACTTGGGACATGGACTAAGCGTGCTCGTGTACATGCAATATGTTTTACCACAGTATGTCGACTAACGAGTCATAAATGTACATGATTTCGACTAAAACTTGACGGCAGTGGCAGAATATATGACTAGTTTACGTGAAAGCAACTACGAAATGTTATCACGCATCATAAATATGGTACGAAATAATCTAATGAAATTATGAAACTCGCCTGGGTTACTCTTGCCTTTAAGTAATGAAGTAGGCAGTAGTTTGAATCTGGATTATGTACGAGGTACTGTTGATTAAATTTTTCGATTAACACAGCGTTGTAGACTGAATTTGTATAAGTCCAGAATTAATGTAAGCCGAATACATAACATTACTTGACGAACAGTCTAAACGAGATCTAAGATCGCAGGAAATTTATAGTTCAAACTCACCGTGAATTTCTAGCATTCGTATCCTCTGTTTGGCCATGGAACTCAGCAATTGGAAATTAGGCAGGCAGTGGTAAAAAAAAGCAGAACATTCTAGTGGATAGTGGTTAAGCAGAAACATGAATTTATAGTCGATAGTTAATCTTGTCTTATTTATACCAGTGGATAAGTTACAAACAGATGTGCGTTCGTGTTGCCTTGTGGCTATACTCACGAGTGGTTGATATTTTAACAGACATATTACACAGGAGCATTTAAATGCTGCTAATGCTTGTTAAAGAACCACGATAGCCGATTATAATCGTAGTTGATTGGTTAGTTCTGTCGATTGAACGAATTATTTAGGTTTAAATGCTAATCAACATTGACATGAAGCAACGAAAGTTCACCGTAACAGAATAACATAGGCGATGATTAAAATGAAAAAGAATAAGTATAGAATACAA